TTTTTTTTTTTTTACTAATATACAATAATGATAATAAAGATTGAGATAGACATATGAGAAATTAAGTTTAATATTTATTGACGTTGTTTTAATATTTTATTTTGAGAAAAAAATATTAAATTTTAAACTCATTTTTTTATACAAAAAGTTTAGTGTCAACTCATATACTTACAACATTAGTATATTTTTTTTTTGTAAAATGAAAAATGAACTAACTCCACCATTAATTTTTTTTTTAAGAAAAGTTAATTAATATTTTATCATACTATTTTATTTTGACGGAAGTTATTCAGAATAACTGTTGTACAATATATTAATAATTATCTCGTTTTTATGCTTGATATAAGTAGTAAAAATATATAATGTCAAATTACTCAATAGATGAATTGATGATTAATTTTATATAAAATTGTTAAACAAATTAAGTATAAAAAACTAATGTGTGGTATCAATCGATCTTCTCTCTATTGTTTATTATTATCCTAGTTAATGAAATTATGAATAAAAAGTTTTTATTTTTATCTAAAAAAATTTGTTGAAAATTATTAAAAAAAAATACATTAATAGTATTAAACATTGGCTTATAAAAATTAAGATGGGCTTAATGGTATGACTAAAATAGAAAGTTTTATTGTTGTAATTGCAATCCTTTTGTTGAGTAAGATTTTTTTGTTTGATAGTAAGGACATGTAACTTTAAATTCTTTAATTATATCTTGGAGACAATAATTGTGAGAAGTGTTAATATGATGGCATGAGGCAAATTAGGACTTAGGAGCAAGTGCACTATCACTCATTCAATCATTCACAATATGCCACGTTATTCTCGTTAATGTCATTTTTCTTTCTCTGCAATATATATTTACCCATTTTTGGTGCACTGGGATGGGACAAGTCATGACTCGTGAGCAATATAGAATAGTGCCTAACTTTTGAAACGTTTTCTGAGGCACTTCCTATTTCCTAATGGAATCAATCATTTTCATCCCTTCTCTCTCTCTGCCCCACTCCTCATATCCTTTATAATTCTATTCTTCCTACTTTTTTTTTTATTTTTAATTTTAATATCTTTTAATTACAAGTATTGAGTTTGAGTAATAAATATATAACTGTATTAAATATTTTTTTTTAAAAGTTTTACTGTTCATAATAATTTGACTCAAACATAATTGCTTTTAATAAATAATACATGTAATTTATGGAAGAAGAAAAAAAAAATTAAGTGAAGGAGTGGGACAAAATCAATCCTAGAAGAAAGGGAAATAGTTGATTGGGGTTAATACTTAATATAATAACAAAAGGACAAAACAAGTTGGAAACTTCAGTATCCAATATCCATACACGAAAGCAAACACAGATAAATTTTCAAATTAAAAAGGCATGTGGGAACAAGCATAAACAACGGAATCCGGTACCCGACAAAAATAGTAGCATAGAATTAGAAAGAAAAAAAAACAAAATATAAAAAGGGATTGTATGATGTTGTTTGTAGGTTTAATTAACTCATTCAGTTTTTATATATTCCTTTGTTTAATTTCCTAAAATTAAAATTTTTATGTCTTAGTTTCTATATAATTATTTTTTTTATTTATGTTGAAGTCCTTATATTTCTCTTTGGAGATGGTTTTATACCAAAAGAAACTAATAGCTAAGACTAAAACATAAAATATTATTCTTAGAGACTGAAATAAAAAAGTTAGTACAAGTATATAGACTAAATAATTAATTAAGTTTTATTTGTAAGGTTTTGATCTATATATTTCTACTTCCAGTTATTTAGTTTATCTTACACATTTATTCCTTAAAATATATGAAACTGGTAATTTAGTTTGTGTTTCTATAGAATAAATATTTATTTTTATATATTAAAATTTATAATAAATAAATATATTTAAATATATATAATAATTCAAATTTAATAAATAAATATTTATAAACATATAAATTACATTTTAAATTTATAATAAATGTTTAAATTGTTATATAAAGTTACTTTTAAATTGAAATGGATAGATAATTAAAAAATAAGTATAGATAAAAAAAAAGTAAAAGGAATATAATTTGAGGAAGTGCGTGAAATGCATCTCTTAAAGAAAGAAGAGATAGTATGGAAAATGGTTTGGGAGAGTGAAACCTTTAATCTCGAAGTTAAAAACTCTAATTTATAGTATAAATTTAAATTATTTAAATATTAAAAACTATAAATAATTTGGCTCATTTTAGGATAATTATTGATGGACATGAACTTGGTTCGTTTGTGGGACTTTTTATTTTTTTATTATAGAAAAAATAAATATGTATCATATTAACATAAGAAGTAAAATATTGTTCAAACCAGTGTTTAAAAACCCAGATCGAACCGGCCAGTCAGACTGGTTGGACCGGGAACCGGTGGTCCAGCCAGTCCGAATCTTAAGTTGGATCGGTTATGCAGTCGACCCGTTTCAAACCGGATCGAACCGATTAATTTTCTGGTTCAACCGGTGAACCGGTGGGTCAAACCGGTTCAACCACTTTTTTTTCTTATTTTTTTTTAAATTTTTTTAAAGGACCATAAACCACAAAAATAATAATGAAAATTGAATCTCTTAATGGAAGAACAAAAATTCTTATTAAATATAACAATGACTACTTGGTCTAATGTATTTGTTTATAATATATACAACTTAAATAACTTTTATAATATATTATTAATTTTAAATTATATATTTAATAATATAATATCTATGTAGATATTACATATATTATTTTGTGATATCAATTGCAAGCATATTATATATGTACATATTATTTATATTTTTAATTTGTATTAATATACAGTTTAACATATAATTTTTTATATATTTTTTACAAAATAAAAATAAAAATAATTTTAAACAATATAAAAAATTTAAAATTTAAAATAAGATGAATTTATTAAAATTTATAAATATAAAATATGTTTAATATGAATATTTTTTAATAAAAATCGAGTCATGCGTTACAACTACTGACTCACCGGTCCAATCTTTAACCCACTGACCCAGTACCTTAACCGGTTCGATGACCGGTCCGATTTTTAAAACTATGGTTCAAACCAACAGATTTCATTATACAAGTGAAAAATCTTTCTCCTTGAGCCCGATTTCTATTTTTCTTCTTCTTTATTTTGATGTTTAGAAATCAGGATTAGGCACCTAGAATTCTCAACTTCGTTTTTATTTATTTATTTTAATTTATAAATTAAAAAATATTTAATTTAATTTAATCTCCTTATCTTTAAACACTTTTTATGAATTTGGTTGTAAAATAATATGAATTTAATGATGATATACTATTGTAAAAGTTTTACACAATAAATCAGTTGAAAATATGATTTTTACGACTTATAAAATAAATATTATAAAAGTGAACAAATTTTTCATTTATAATAAATAATAAATTATGATCAAATGATAATGTATTACATTGTGAGTTCATCACTATTAAATTCAAATAATATTGTGATATATGTATTACATAGTTATTAATATTCACTTCATTGACATTTTTAAGTGAACTATAAATATGCACCTAAAGATACAATTTCTAGCTTAATCCACTTGCATACTTACATTGATGTATAAATTATATTTTTTTAAAAAAATAAATGATCATTATTAGTTTGCTGAGTTAGTCAATTTGCTACATCCAGCAAGTATCTCATTTATATTTTGTTTTTCATGTTATGTAAATAACTCATTTTATCAATCACGCCAACTGTTTTATTATTTTCTCTTTGTAAATATATTAAATCTTACAAAATAACAAATTAAATCATAAAATAATAATTTTATTCAATAATTACTTAATTATTCACCAAAAATTTAAATCAAAACTAATAATTTTAACATTTTCTTAAATTTATAAATTAGAAGAAAATAATAAAATTAAAAATAAAAAATATGAGTGCCTAATCCTAATTTCTCAACATCAAAACAATAATAAAAATAAAAACAACTAAAAATTGTTCTCATACTTTTTTCTCCTCCCTAGCTTGAGTTTTATCTCAAACTCTTTCTTCACACATCACTCACATTTTGCACTCCCATCTCTATGTTCTTCTCCCTCTTCCTCACATATATCACAACTCATTCCAATCCAGAGCTCCATTATATGTGAGTTTCATTCTCATTTCCCTTTTTTTATTGGTGTTAACAGATACATAATGGAACTTGTTTCTATTATTATCAAAGAATTTTGTATATTTTTTTAAATCATTATTATTAAACTTTTATTAATTAATACTGAACTTTCCGCTGCAAAGTGCTTACGTGTAGGTTATTAAGTGGTCATAGATAATTTGAGAGTTCACAAGAAGACTCTTGTAGAAGACATATTGATGTTATGTTACATTTAAAGTTATGCAAGTACCACTTATCGATCGTTTCCACTCGCAACAAAAAAAGTGACAAAAAAAAAACAAGAAAATCACTATAGAATGTATAAGGTTTTAAATTCTAAGTTCTAACATTGATGTTATCATTGAAAAAAAAATCAATTAACATATAGTCATTTATTATTATTTTGATACTTGAAGCAATTATTACTTTTAAGTGATATATATGAATTGTACGATTGAATAATGAATTCGGCTAATACTTTTTTTATTATTATTATTTTGTATGCCATTTTACCAATTTGACAAAAAAAAATAATGTTCATTATATCATACATATTTTTGAGAATCTAGGTTCAATCTTCATTGCAATCATTTTTGTAATATTTTTTATTTTATTTATAAAAAAAAGGAGTGCTAAAATGATAGACCATAACTTACATGTTAATTTGGTTGGATCCAACAAGCTTTGTGAACTTTCAACCAACTTGGGCCTTTTGGCCGTTCTATAATACGGGTTGGAAAATTCGTGGGTTAATGGACCAATTGTGAATTTACAAAAATATTATTTATATATTAATTTAATGTGTAGAAATTACAATGACCGTGTCGAAAACTTAAACTTAAAATTATATACATACTAGTTAAATATTTTCTATTAGACTGACTAATAGTTTTGTATTAATATTTTTTTTGGTTAGAGGTTGCACTAATATTATAATATAAGAACCAGTTTGAAAAGAAAAAAAAAACAACAACAACGATCTAATTAGCGAAAATTATATAATCATGGTATGATAGAAATGAAATTAAACCAATAAAAAATAATTTTTTACTCAACATATGCAGTAATCGAAGAATGATGGCGTGTGAACTTAAAATTTAAAAAGTATTTGTTATTGTCAAGAATTCCGACACCATGTTACTTATTTCAAGGAATCCTACCAAACTGTTCCTGAAAATATCGTTCCTAATAAAGTAATTGGATTCGGAGATATTTAAAAGAAACACGTTCTGAGGCCATGTGTTGGGTGCGACTTTATTATCCACACCTTCAAAAATGTTACTTGCTGCACGTTTGTTTAGCATCATATCAATATCTATTCACCTCTTGGAGAAGCAAGTTAATATAGCTTTTTTTTTTTCCAAGCAAAATTGAATTAAATAAGATAAATACAAGGGGTACTCCAACCCATATACACAATATAACTAAAGTAAGTACACCTCTGACAACTGGAGGTGATTAATGAAAACAACACAATAACTACATATCTCCTAAAATCAATTTGTAAACATCATACAATAAAAAACCTTGCACTAATAGGTGGAACAACCAAACTAGCAATCCAAAAAAAGATTATCAACTACAAAGTGAAGCCAATCAACATTGTCAAAAGCATTTCCGCAACTAAGTCGGAATCACACACCCAGATAGCAATAATCACCAACAAAATCACTTAATAAAAATTAAGGCATACGGAAGGGGACTCAGCCCAAGAAGAAAATGAGTATGAAAAAGAATTATCTCTCGCTTTTAACCATTTCCAAGGGCGCAGTTTTACCAATTCAAGCACATCTAAAGTAGATAGCACCTTGTCAGAAAAAAAATAAGAGCATTTCTTGCTAGCCAAATACTCCAGATTACAGTCAACCAGATCACAGCCCATCTATACCTCATTTTGGAAGGACAGAGAGGCAGCCCAAGAAATTGATCAAAATGAGCAATGAAGCTATTGGACAGCACAGAAGTGAAGCCACACCATTCCAAGGAAAGCATCCAAACATGATATGCAAAATAGCACTCAAAGAATAGGTGTGAAGAAGTCTCCATCCTATATTGACACCATACACAGGAACTATTCGAATCAATAAGAACATGTCTCTTAACAAGATTAAATTTTGAGGGGAATCTATCTAACAATACCCTCCAGACAAAACAAGAGACCTTATAGGGCACCAAACGACACCAAATAAACCTGTGTAATGGTATTTAAGCAAAAAGAGAATCATTGACAATAACATGATAAGATGACTTGACAAAATACTTGCCATCTGAATCAACTTTCCATCTCCAAGAATCATGAGTATACTCTTGAACCTGAAAACCACGAAGATCGGAAACTAATAGATCCAACTGTTCCAATTCCCACTGAAATAAAGGCCTTCTCCACCTCCAATTCCACTCAACACCACCCCCTCTACCAAAGAACATGTCCGTCACGGTTGCCTCCGAGTTGATAGTAATAGAAAAGAGCCTACCATATCGAACACAAAAAGGAGTTGTAGAACACCAAGAATCCTTCCAAAAAGAAGTGTTTCGCCCATTACCCAAAACTCTTACACACATCGTAGAAAACCAATCCTAAGAGATACCATCACACACATCAATACTCCACAGATCTAACCACCACCTGGACACACTACCCCTTCTACCTTCTAAAGTCAAGGATGGCACTCCATATAAAGATGTTAACACTTTATTCCACAACCTATCTCTCTCAACTAATAGACGCCACCTCCACTTCCCTAACAGAGCAAAATTGAAAGCTCTCAAATCTCTCAAACCTAGTCCCCCATACTATTTTTCTCGACACACATCAGCCCAAGAGACCCAAACTAATTTCCTATGTTCATCATCCCCTCCCCAAAGAAAATTTGAGAACAGAGATTCAAGATGTGAAATGATTCCTTTGGGAGCCTTGAAGAAGGAAAGAAAGTAGTATGAGATGGAGTGGAGCACGGATTTCAAGAGCATAAGCCTACCACCAAAGGACAACAATTTGCTCTTCCATTTTGATAACTTTTTTTCCACCTTCCGCACCACGGGCTGCCAGGTCGTCAAGCGAGCGGGATTAGCATCAAGTGGTAATCCTAGGTAAGAGCATGGGAAAGACCCAACTTTGTAATTTAGAAACTGAGCCAAAGACTGCAACCAAACCTGGTCAACATTAACACCCAAGAGCTGACTTTTGAAGAAATTAACCTTGAGACCGGCTACTAACTCAAACAGCTGTAGAATAACTTTAATAGCCCAACCATTACTCAGAGTAGCATCGGCCACTAGGATGGTATCATCAGCATACTATAGATGTGATACTGGCACTGCATTCCCACCAACCATATAGCCTGTAAACACACATTCCTGCACTGCTTTAGACATCAAAGAAGACAATCCTTCTGCAGCAATCAAATAAAGAAAAGGAGCCAATGGGTCTCCTTATCTCAACCCTCTACCAACTCCAAATTCACTAGATGGACTTCCATTCACAAGAACAGACACTCTAGCAGTGGCTAAACACTCTGCTATCCACCTCCTCCACAAAATTGGAAACCTCATTTTTTCCATAACAAACAAAATATACTCCCAATTGACAGAATCATAAGCCTTCTCAAAATCAACCTTCAACAGCAAGCATTGTTTTTTCTTTCTTTTTGCCTCTTCTAGAATTTTATTGGCAATCAAGACACTATCAAGAGTTAGTCGTCCTTTCAAAAATGTTGATTGACTCTCAGAAATAACTTTCCCAATGACTTTCTTCATTCTGTTTGCCAGTACTTTCGCTAACACCTTATACATACATCCAATTAAGGAAATAGGTCGGTATTCCTCCACTTTTTGAGGATTATCAGTTTTAGGTACAAGAACCACAAAAGAGCTATTGGAGCCTTTAACTAATTTCCCATTAGCATGAAACTCGTGTAAAAAAGCCAAAAAATCAGCTTTAGTATCATCCCAAAAATCCTTGATAAAAGTGAAATTAAATCCATCAGGTCTTGGACTTTTGGATCCTTCATAATCCCACACTGCAATCTTAACTTCTTCATCAGAAAATGGCAAGATTAAGGTTGCAGCATCTTCTTCTGACAATGTTTTAAAGTTGGTACCTTGAAGTCGAGGTCTAGCATGCAAACACTCATGGAAGTGCCCTTCAAAAAAGCCTTTGACTGCCTCTTTTATTGTTGAAGGCTCATTATACCTTTTATTGGCCACCTTCAAGCTTCAAATCTCATTTTTTAACCTTCTACGATTGATACAGGCATGGAAAAATTTTGAGTTAGCATCTCCTGCTTGCAACCAATTAAGACACGACTTTTGAAACAACAGATTATCCTTAAGAGTCAATGATGCACACAACTGAGCTCTCCACTCCTTTCTTTGCACAACTTCAACTTCTTGTAGATTAGAATCTTCACTCTTAAGATCCAGCATGTTAACAATATTCCGAGCCTCATTTATTTTCCTGTCTAAACAACCAAATGTCTCTTGATTCCACCGATGCAATCTACATTTTAAGAGCTTGAGTTTCTCCTTTAGTACAAATGCAGCTCTCCCCTCCACATTTAATTCCTTCCATTGGGATCTCACAAATACGACGTACCTCGCATCACCCCTCCAGCAATCAAGAACTCTAAAAGGCTTTGGACCCCAATTGATATCTTCATTTTTCAACAAAATAGCAAAATGATCTGACAAACCTATACTAAGGCCACATTGCGTTGTATGTGGCCAATGAGACAACCAAGCATTTGAAACTAAGAATTTGTCTAATCTGCTCATACACTTTCCATCTGTTCTGTACCATGTATATTTTCTCCCTACTAACGGTAAATCCACCAACTCAGCCTTAGTAATAAATTCATCAAAGCACTTCATATCATCTTCTCTCCAGTAGGAACTCACCCCTCTCTTCTCCCCCTCAACCCTTACAACATTAATATAGCTTTGTATTTGATGATATTCTTTTTTAGATATGGTTTATAGACGCTAGCTAATTCAAAAATACTCTATATACCTTCAAATTGTGTCACACCACAACCAGATAAAAAAAAATTCTCAATTTAATACTTCAAATTATTTTAACTAAATGAAATTAATAGTGTTTAATTTATTTTTGTTATCTGACTTTTATATGTCTTTTTGGTAGAGCTGTCAAAATAGGCTCAGCCCGGTGAGCCAACCCGGCCCACCACGGGTTCGAGCCAGGTTGAGCCAAAAAAAATTTAAAAATTTTAGTACGGGTCAATTTTGAACCTGGCTCACTAACAACCCGGCTCACCCAAGTTGAACCCGTGGTGAGCCGGGCTAACCCACCAACCCGTAAAAAAAAAATCCTATACTTATTGGGCCAATGCAGCCCATTAGGGTTTCATTTTTCAATTTGAACTTCAGAAATCTATAGCTGCACAGCCTGCACTCTCACACCCTCAATCCGCACCGCACAGCCACCATAGTTGCTGCCACCACACCGCACCAGCCACCATAGTTGCCTGCACCAGCCACCATAGCTGCCACCACACCGCATCAGCCACCATAGCTGCCATCACACCGCACCAGCCACCACACCGCACTACATAGCTGCCACCGCACTAGCCACCACACCGCACTACATAGCTTCCACTACACCGCACAGCAAGGCACCGTGCTCACCGAGCACCGTGAGCCGCCGCACGCATCGTGAGCCACCGCGAGCCACCGCAAGCCACTGCGCGCACCGCGAGCTGCCGCACGCATCGTGAGCCCATCGCGAGAAGTTTGCCAATTTGGTTTGTTTTCAGTTTAGGGTTTTACATTTTTTTTTAAATTAGGCGAGTCAACCCGTTTAACCCACCAACCCGTGGTAGGCCGGGCCGGGTTCAATTTTTTTGAGCTCACTAATAAATGAGCCGGGTTGGGTTAACCCACTAAATGCTCAACCCGTAGTGGGCCGAACCGGATTACCCGTTTTGACAGCTCTACTTTTTGGGTACAGTATCTAACTTTTATGTGTGATATTTTTCTTTTGCTGTATTTATTATATGTGATGTTATTCACATCAAAATTTTACAATTTTTATAAACGACTCGAAATGTTAGATTTTTTTTAAAGGAGTTTATAAGAATTAATTTGAAAAGGCAAAAGTATAATTGAGAATTTTTTTTTCTAATATAAGTATTTTCAGTCCACTAAAAATTAATGTCGTTCACAATATTATGACTGTCGTTAACTTAAAAGATTTTTACATATAGTGAGAATTGATCACGAAATTTTTTTATTAAATAAATTATCTTTAGAAGTTATAAATACAACATAATTAACAACTATGCTATCATTAAATTGATTGAAAATGTGAATGATTGAATACGAGTGAAAAGAAAGAAAATAAATCAAACTATTTTGTAATTACATAAAAAAGAAAAGATGAATTATAGGATGGGCTACCTTCTTAAGTGGTCCACCATGCACCATAGTTAAAGACTTTAAAATTAATCTAATCCTCATATGATTATTGTGCACCATTAATTCTTATCATATCAACACTAATTTTTATCCTTTCTAGCTACTCATTGCTATCAATTCCCTTCCTAACAAACCCTCACCACTGTGCATCGGCTCTAATCACCATGCATCGACATGGGAGTGATTGATGGCAACGATATTTTGCCTTTTTTTTTTTTTTCTCTCTCATTTCATCCTTTATTTTTAACCTTTTTTCATCCCAAAGTGGGGTTAACTAGTTGTCTAGATCAAACAACAAAATTACAATTTTTGACAAATTGGGAGTGAGACTTGTGAACAGGTTCTTGTTAAGCCACCCTTGAGACAAGTGTGTAATATCATTTCCATGAAATCCAAAAACCCAAATTTGTCTTTATGATTGTTGAGCCATATATTTTGAATATGAGGGTTTGCAAACCCTTAAGCTCCTAAAAGCAACGTTTGAGGACGGAGGTGAATTTGTTGGCATTTAAGAACACAACATCGATATCGAGAAAATCATCGGGGAACACGCATATTTGAGCATGAAAACAATCATGAGAGAAGACGACTTGGTTGTCAAAAAGTGTGTTGTTTGGGAGAGAAAGCATGGTGAATTGGGAGAGTCAGTTCAGATTCGAAGCATAGGTGACCAAAATAGCAAGAGAACCATTTGGATTCAAAATGTAAAAATGAAAAAAAAAATGAGACTCGCTGAAAATCAACTTGGTAGTGGTTCATGGTTGTTTGCGATGAGGAATTCTAGAAAAAGGAAGTTACAATAATGTTATTGTGTAGTTGATGCACCAAAAGTGACCATTAGACTGATCCAAAGATCATAAATTATTGTGCATGGTTCTAAGGTGATGGTCCACCTTAAAATTTGTCTAAAAAGAAAAAAAGTGAAAATAAGAATCAAAATGCAAGATAAAATAATGAAGGATAAATAAAATTTTAAATAAAAGAAAGAAAAAGGATAAAATATGAAAATAAGGAAAATGAGAATATAAAATAAGGCAAAGAATTTATTGTTTTGAATTTAAATAAAATGATAGTTGCAACAAAGTCAAGAACTTGTTTTAAACATGATTAATCTCTCAATGACAAAGCTCCAACCCTTATTATATTGTTCAAACATTTATTTATTGACAAAATATATTAACTATCAATAACTTATTTAGTTTCTCAAATGAGGTTAAATTGTAAATTACAAACATTATAACATATTACAATAAAATAATATTCCAAACATATTAAAATGGAAAATTATATAATCTTTTGTGTAACACTATGATTTTAGTTTTGTTGATTAATTGTATGTAATATGTTGATTTGTTGTGATATAACTATTTTAGAACTCTACGGGTTAATGAACCCTTGAGAGTTAAATTGTTGTTGAGGTAGTTTTAGTTGGTGTCTAGTTGGCCTATCTTAAGGAATGATATATAAGGTTTTTTTTAAGACGTGAATCTCATAAGTTCATATCTTAAGAAAAGTTAGAGAAAAAGACTCTAAAGTAAGAGAAATTCCTTCTCCTTCTGCTTTTGTTGATTCCTTCTAGATTCTTCCTATAACTGAGTTGAGTTGTGTAAGGACTGCAGGGCCTATTTTCCTTACTCCCACTAACAGCCCAATGCAATTGCCTATCGCACCTGATACCCACGAGGAGCGCTCAAAGAGAATCATTCAGCAGCCACGCCACCTCAAGGATTATGTGATCACATGTCCTGCTTCCCGTAAAAAGGGGAAATTAGTTACGAAAGAATGATTGGAAAGATTCCTTGTATTTTTTCCTTTTTTTTCCACATAGGATTTGTACTGCAAGGTGATTGCCATTTGTGCATATATAGCACAGAATGTTATGTAAAAGGCAGCAAGAAATATAAAAGTATCCATTCCTCTCTGAAAACATTCCCTCTTTCTGTTATTTCTCCCTCTGCCTGCAGTAATACCTTTCAAGTTGTTAGATTGGAGATTCAAGCTTTAGGAGTTGAGGATCTCAAGTTGAGAGCCATATGAAGTTTCAAGTTCTTCTTCCTTCTTCCTCACCTCTTCTCATTTTGGACTGATTCAAGATAATGGAAGTTTGTGATTGATGAATTATTTAGTTTCATTGCTTGGTTTTTGTTTGGATTCATCAAATGTTGGTTGTTTTAGTTGAATTAAGAAAAGATGTTGAATTGCTTTGAGTTTTAGCTTTCTTGAAGGTGCTTTGAGTAAAATTTAATGATCCTTTAAGTGTAGTGATTGTATATGGTATTTTGAGTTGGAAATGTGTTGTATTAGTCATATATATGTTGAAATTTGTAATGCATATTGGTTTAGTTAAAGAGTCCCCAGGTTTTGAGCCTACATGAGATTCTGTCATGTGCATAAACCTTCACTGTGCCGAGCGGGACTCAAGTTAAGGGTTTTCTATCCTGACAACGCAAAGTGCAAGATTTGTAGTATTGATTATGCGTTAATGAGGAGTTCTCTGACATAGTCACGGTGAGTGTAGAAAAGATAGGCATTGAGTGTGATTGCTCAAGAAACTCTCTAACTTAGTGGCGTTGAACTCAGGTTGAGAGGCATCGAATATGATAAAGTCAATAGCTCTCTATCTAACTGATGTCGAACACAAGTTTTGTGGCACCATACACGAGTCAAGTAATGGTTTTTTATTTGAATAAGGCCAAACATAGGTTTAGCTACATTAGAAGTGATTGGCATAATGAATCGTTGCCTCATCCACACTAGCGCATGTGGTTTGGCACCAGACGTGGGTGAGTCAGGGTCTCTCAGCCTCAATGACATCGAGCACGTGAAGAGTGGCACGAGCGTGGTTTCTTAGACAAAAAACCTTGTTGATTATTTGTCTAAGTGTTGAAAATATATAAAGTGTGTTTTTCACTCACATGCCATATGATGTTGTATGATTTCAACTCATTATACATTGATTTAGGAATGAGGTATAATGATATTTTAAGTTGCTAAGTTGTAAGTTGATAGTTGAATAAAATTGTTTAAGTTGTGAGTTGTTAGTTGATTTTTAAGTTGTTAAGTTGTATATGCATGTAATGATGAGATACATGTCTTAGTTTAGATACATAAAAATTAGAGGAAAGTAAAATTGTTTCAATACTTGTATATTTTAATGTATATTGTATATATGTACATGATATATATGTAACCCTATAAGAGACTTATATTTTCCAGTCTTATGAGCATGAACTATTTTACATTTTTTTATACTCTTTACAATATTTGTTGTATGAATATATATACAGATGACTGTTATATAAAACGATAAAAAAAATTTAGAATGATTGATTAGTTTATAATTTTTTATGTGTATTAATTGTGATTTAGGTATAATGACATGTTCGGCCATTATATTTACATCAAAACTAAAATTTCACAATAAGGCAAATTTGAAAAAACAGTAAAACTCTTATTAAATAAAACTAGAATCCTTTTAGAAAAATCATTCAAGTCAAACAACTTATTCAGTTTTCACTTTGGAAAGAGCCATTAACATGAAAAATATTTTAGACAAATTATATCAAGTTTCAAACCTTGATTTTTTTCACCTTATTTTTCTTTTAAATATTTACTTACCTTAAATATAAATTTATGTGAAACATTTCTGTCAGAAGTTCATGGGTACATACGAATTCCCAATGCTCTGTCTTCTACTTTACATTACATGAACATAATACAAGAACAAAAAAAAAAAAAAAAAGACACGTTGCCAAAATAATTCAATGAGTGTTAGCTCTTTTATATTTAAAAAATGATGGACAACAATTTTAATGGATGCCTCTTTAATTATTCATCCTCAGGACCTGAAATACTCCTATTTTCAAGTCATTAATTTGATAGATAAGTAAGTAAAATAAATTTTAAGAAATAAGATAAAAAAATTTTGAAAGTATAATTTAACTTATGTTTTAAATAAGGTGCGTGATGATGAGTGAAATTTTTAATAATGATTTTTGTGCGGTGTCAGAAAGATAAATAATTTTTGTCGGGAAAATCAAGGTGATATAAAAGCGCGTAAAAGCTTTCCCTACGA